GGTTATATAAAATCAGGCATGCTCCCTGCCCTCCGAAGAGCTTATGCTCTAGTTCCTCTGTTGCTAAGTCATGTCCCTGCCTGATGACCCTGAGGCATGACATTTTTGGCATCTTTGTTGTAATGGTAATCACACTGGTACACCATATTTCCAACCTCACGTGGTAGTTTCATAAAGGTTTTTTGTGTTGGAGAGCTGAGGCACTGTCAAGAAACAAAAAGATTCTTCTATCTGTATTAGCAGTTCAGAAGAGAAGGAAAGGACTAATTCCTGCTGAGGAAATTTGCAAGTTGGGATTGGAATTGCACCATGGCAAGCAGGATAGGAGGGATGCCAATGAAGTAACACAACAAATCCATATAAAATAACAGATAAAGGAACAGAAAATGGAGGAGAATTCAAACTATGGTTGCCTGTCTATAAAATGGATTCCTTTTATTTTTAATGATGATGTTTGGGGGATCTCAGTGTCCTCCTTACTCTAATTTGGTGTGCTTATTCACTGTGTTGGTTTTCTATTGCTGCTCCAACAAATTACCACCAACTTTTTGGCTTAAAACAACACAAATTTATTATCTTACAGTTCCAGAGGTCAGAAATCCAACACAAATTTAACTGGGCTAAAATCAGGGTGTGGGCAGGATTATATTCCTCCTGGAGGCTCTAGGTGAGAATCTGTTCTCTGCCTTTTTCAGTAGAGGCCTTGCACATTCTTTGGTTCATTCTCCTTTCTCCATCTTCAAAGCCAGCAATGTTGTATCTCTCTGACCCTTCTTCCGTTGTCCTATCTCATTCTCTGACTCTGACACTTCTGCCTTCTTACAAAGACCCTTGTGATTATTTTGGACCCACTTAGACATGAAGGACTATCTCCCCATCTCAAGACCCTGAATTTAATGACACCTGCAAAGTTCCTTTTGCCTGTAAGGTAACATAGTCACATGTTCTGAAGGTTAGGTCTGTGGACATCTTGGGGGGTGGGGCATTATTCTGCCTACCATATCCACTCACCATCTTATCAAATGAGGCAATTATTAAAAGCCATCTCCTGGCTTTTAATGAATATCCTGGTGTTCTACCTAAATTTGCTTCAAGCTATTACTGTCTTTTTCAGAGCACTCTCCTCTCCTTCTGACAAATGTTTTGGAAAATGCCCTACTACATTTGTAAGTCATCTGTGGTCTTGAGTAAACTTAATAATATTAATTGGAAAATATTTATATAATACTAACCTTTTAAAATGCTAGAGATACCAGAGGGGAAGTGGGGGGGGGGTGGGTTAAATAGGTGATAGGGATTAAGGAGGGCCCATGGTGTGATCAGCACACAGTGATGTATAGAAGTGTTGAATCACTGTATTGTACACCTGAAAATATTACACTGTATGTTAACTAACTGGAATTTGAATAAAAACTTTAAAAAAATAAATAAAATGCTGGAGAATGCCACTATTCACTTTGTAAGGACAAAAGGCAAATTTAGTGATAGGGAGTTGAGCTAAAGAAAAAATAATCATCTGTTTTGCTGTTCTCATGCTTCTGGCTGGCCTCTGTGGTAACAAAACAAAAACACAGACGAGCAACTAGAGAACAATTTATACATGAGAAACTATTTGATTTACTAATACATGATTTTTAAAAATACTGTTTATTGAAGTCTTGCTTATACTTCTATAACAAAGATTCTCACAGCTTTATTGAAGTATAATCAACATACTCTAAACTGCACATATATAAAATACACATTTGGTAGGTTTTGATGTATGTCGTATGATGTTATAGGATGAAAGCATCCCCATGAGTAAAACAGTGAACATATCCATCACCTCAAAGTTTCTTTATGCCCCATTGTAATCTCTCTGCCCTTATTGTCCCCTCTACTCCCAGCCAACCATCTACTTTCTGCTGCTATATATTACCTTCCATTTCCTAGAATTTTATATAAACATAATTATTTATTATATACTTTTGGTCTGGCTTCTTTCACTTACCAAAATTATTTTGAGAATTAGCCATGTTATAGCATGTATCAATAGTTCATTCCCTTTTATTGTTCAGTGATATTCTATTATATGGATATACCACAGTTTGCTTTTATCCACAGTTGCTTTGTTATTGAACATTTGAGTTGTTTCCGTTTTTTTGGACATTACAAATAAAGCTGCTATTGAATGTTCATTTATAAGTCTTTTAAGGGATATATGCTTTCCATTTCTCTTGGGTAAATATCTAGGAGTAGAAAAGCTGGGTCATATGGTTGATAATATGTTTAACTTTTTAAGGAACTGCCAAACTGTTTTCCAAGGAAGTTGCACTGTTTTATAATCCCACCAGCAGTATATGAAAAGGAAATGGATTTTTAAAAATTTAAAAATATCTATGATCAATACTTTAACACATTATATAAGTTGTGCAACATCATGTGCTGGAGAAGTGGTCTGGACATTTAAGGAGCCTGCATAATGTTAGCAGGTATATTATATACACTTATAAAAACAATGCACTGTGTAATGTGGCTTTTAAGTGTCAGGTGGGAAGTCCAAATAAATGTGAGAGGAGTCTGTGAGCTACAACAAAGAGAGAAAGCTGATTAGATGAGGCAGGGCTTTGCTGGGATGATTAGAATACTGGCAGAAAAGACCTGCAAGCAAATTCCTTAGGTTAACATAATTTCTAAGCATTTTTTTTTTAAGATTCTATCTATTAGAGAGAGAGAGAGGCAGGCAGAGGGAGAGGGAGAAGCAGGCTCCCTGATGAGCAGAAAGCCTGACATGGGGCTCGATCCCAGAACCCTGAGATCATGACCTGAGCCACAGGCAGATGTTTAGCCGACTCAGCCACCCAGGCACCCCATTTCTAAGCATTCTTTTTTTTTTTTAAGGATTTTATTTTTTTGACAGAGAGAGATACAGAGAGAGAGGGAACACAAGCAGGGGGAGTAGGAGAGGGAGAAGAAGGCTTTCCGCGGAGCAGGGAGCCCAATGCGGGGCTCGATCCCAGGACCCTGGGATCATGACCTGAGCCAAAGGCAGACACTTAATGACTGAGCCACCCAGGCACCCCAGCATTCTTGTTCATACAAACTAACAACTACTTTCATTATAATCATCTGCCTCCTACAGGTATCTGGTGGCAGTTGTTAGTTATTGCTACATACCATCTCTATCAAAACTGGTGACTTAGAACAACAATCATTTAGTCTTTTTCATATGTCTGTGGATCAACAGTGCACGTTTGTGGACCTCAACCAATCAAATAGGTCTGTTGTTGGCTCAATCTCTGGTGTCTGGACATAGTATGGTTCATCTGGGTAGCTTTCCAAGTGGTCTGTTCCATTTGGTCTCCTTCTCCAGCACACTAGTCCAGGTTTCTTAGCATAATTTAGTCTGGGAACCACCATATTTTCTTGGCCAAAAACAGTCCCAAGGCCAAGGCAGAATTGGGTTGGAGTGGAGCTGCAAAGTCACTCTGCAAAATGTGTGGGCACGTGGATGGGTAGAGAATTGGAGCCATTTTTCATCAATCTACTATATCAGAGACCAACATGCCAACCATCTTTCAATATTTAATCCAAATTCCTTATTTGACTATGTAATCTAGAACTTGGCTGAGACCAAAGAATTAAGCAAAAAAAGTCCTCTGAGCCAGTTCTAAATGCAAGGTTGGCTAGTTACCAAGCCCACAGAAGATTAAAAGCTTTTAAATTAGTAGCTGCAATAAATAAATAAGTAGCTGCATAGTCACCTAAAATGAAACCAGAGGCTGGTAGCTAATCCAATTAGTTTGAAAAAAGCAAATTATATTTGGTATTTTCTGGTTCAACAAGCATTCACCTAAAAAATATTCCCACCCAACATGATTTACATTTCCAATACTAGTGTTTTTGTATTATTCAGAAACTGGAACAACATACCCAAAGGACCTTGGCACCTGTAACCAAGATATTATTAACAGGCCTCATCTGATCTGGCTTGTTCCTCGCCTCCTCCCTCCCACCCACCTCCCACTTCCTAGAAATGAGCCCTCTTTGTCCATTTTATTATTTTTTTTAAGATTTATTTATTTTTAGAGAGAGCAAGTCAGCTGCAGGAGTGGTAGAGGGAGAGGGAGAGAATTCTCAAGCAGACTCCCAGCTGAGTGCGAAGGATCCCAGAACCCTGAGATCATGACTTGAGCTGAAATCAAGAGTCTGAAGCCTAACTGACTGAGCCTCCCAGGCACCCTGGTTTTCTCTAAAATGGACAGAAACAGGGGTGCCTGGGTGGCTCAGTTGGTTGAGCCTCCAACTCTTGATTTCCGCTCAGGTCATGATCTCAGGATCCTGAAACTAAGCCCCAAGACGGGCTCCCGGTTTAGTGGGAATAGGCTTGAGATTTTCTCTTTCCCTATCCCTCTGCCCGCCGGGCATGCTTGGGCGCTGTCTCTAAAATAAATCTTCAGAGAAAATCATGATGCTGGATGCTAGGGAAGTTCTCCATTGGAGAAGCCAAGCCGGGATAGCCTAACAGTAGGTTTCCCACGTATCTCATGAAAAATACGTCTCTGCTCCAAGTGTCTGCAGACGCGCTTTCACCAAACTACTAACTCGCCCAAAGAACGCATCTTTCCAGGTTTCGGTTTAAAAAGGGCTCTACACTGAGCCCCGCCCCTCCGTGTTCCCGAACCACCCCCAGCCTCCAGGCCCAGCTCTAGCCCACCGCTTGCACTCTCGGAGCACTTGTTCCCTAGGGGAGCGCTAGCGACACGGCTTAAAATGCAGCTTCACACACTAACCGCATGTGGGAATTAGCATTTTAAGAAAGCGGCACACGGTACTTTGATTTTGATCACCTGGTCGGCGAACCTATTTTGTAAAATATCGCCTCCAGTTCTCCCTTGTCCCGCCCTCCACCCTCCTGTTCTTGCTCTCGGCTATCCAGGGCCAGTTAAAGAAACCGGAAATCCACAGGAACGCGCACCGGGAGCGGGCCTTCGCTGCGCTGCACCGCGCGTGCGCGCGCCGTCTCTTGCGTCACTCGGCCGCGCCCAGCCTTTCGGCGACGGCCCTTGGTCCCGGCCGCGGCGGGGGTCGCAGGTCGTCCGGGGCAGGTTCTCCTTGGCGCTCCCCCATGGAGGAGGCGGCGCTCACGGCTGCAGACCCGGATGCCCTCACCTCCTTCTGTACGGCGACGAAGGCGCTGGCCGCGCGAGCTCAAGAGGCGGCGGCCCGTGCGGCCTGTGTGGGCGTGTAAGCGGAGGTGACTAGGGCCAGATAGTGGAGGGGAAGCCGCATGGCCGGCCTCCAACTGGGGTGAGGTCGCCACTTTCTTTTTCTTTCTTTCTTTCTTTCTTTCTTTCTTTCTTTCTTTCTTTCTTTCTTTCTTTCTTTCTTTCGTCTGTCTGTCTTTCTGTCTGTCTTTCTGTCTGTCTTTCTGTCTTTCTGTCTGTCTTTCTCTTTCTGTCTTTCTTTCTTGTCTTTCTGTCTGTCTGTCTGTCTCTCTCTCTCTCTCTCCCTCCCTTCCTTCCCTCCCTCCCCTCCCCTCCCCTCCCCTCCCCTCCTCTCCCCTCCCCTGCAAGCGCGAAGGGGCTAATTGTGGGCTACTCTGCTGGTCTTGGGTTCTTGGGTTGGTAGGGGCCTTTCAGGGGACACGTGTGTTCAGAAATGGAAGGGCTTTTCCTCATATTCTGCATCGAGGAATCCCACCGTGAATTGGATTGGTATTAAATGCCGTAGAAGCCTGGCTTGTCTGTGTCGGGCGCGTGTTCATTAAGCTCATTCAAATAGTTTCGTTTTGTTGTTGTGAGTTTTAGAAGATTGTTTCAACTACCGCGGACATACTGACAATTGAACAAGCCTTAGGAGTCGGCCGTAACGTTTTGAACATGACTGTTTCAATTTCCTAACTTTTATAAAGTCCCTTAATCCTGTCTTCCTCTCCCTACAACTGTACAAAACTCTCAATACGTTTAGTTTTGTATTTGTGTCTGTTCAGTTTCTTCACGAGGTTTTCCAGTTTAATACAGGACTATGTTTTAGTTCTGTTTCTAGAAGTTATATACCATGTGCCTAGTTAGTACTTTTTTATGAGAGAATAGAGGTCTTTGTTTCATTGCAGTAAGCTGTCTTTTGAAGCAGTATGTTGTCCTTGGTTGAGTAGGTTTCATGTTGGTAAGTAAAACGAGTATGGAGGCTAGTAACCAAATTTTTGAAAGTAGTTAGTAACTATGCAGTCCTTTTGCCTACTTCTGTATTTTCTTCTTTCCAGGCTGGAGCTACTCTGCCAGGGTTTAAAACTTTAAATGAGAGTAAAGAGTATTTACAAGGAAATGAAAGTAAGTCATCTCTAACTGCTTCCAGACTTTTTTTCATAAGAGAGACCATATTAAACTTACATGTAAGTTAAAATTTTAATTTATAACTAATGTTGCTAAATTAGGGTTGGAGATTTAGGTTCTGTAGTATTTATAAGTACTGCCTTTAAAAATAATTAGCTAAATAAGAGATTGGAAAAAATTAAAGGAGAAGTAAAGATTAAGAAATTAAAGATTAAGAGCTCTAAAGTTTTCATTCAGTGTGGGCAGCCCATAAAGAAATAGAGTCCAATGGACACTTAGGTTCCTTTTCAGGCTGTGTAACTTTCTCTGTGGTCCTCTGCATGCGGTTTAACCCCTTGGAGGTTTGGTTTCTTTGGTTGTAAGGTGGGGAGAATGATACCTTCTTCCCATTGGGTGTATTAGAAATAATGTGTATCAGTTACCTGGAACAGTGCTTCACAGGTGTGCAGTAAGTGGTAGCTATTACTATTAGAAATAATAAAAAAGTTACATTTGCTTTTAGGATATTTCTTTTATGTAAAAATACCCTGCAGTGGTATCCTACCTACCCTTGTTCAGTGTCAGCCACAGTGGCCTTTCTTTTTCTAGAAAACTGCATACCAGTTCATACCTCTCTGCCCTTGCATTTTTTTCTCTGCTTTTTTCTTTTTCCTATCTTTTTCAAGCCTTTGCTCAATGTTACCTTCTCACTAGGCCTCTTAACCAACCTAGTTAAAATAGAAGTCCCCTAACCCAACTCCCCAGTGCCCTTAACCATAGCATTTACCACCTTCCAATATAATATTCTTATTTTTATTGTCTTGCCCTACCTCCAAACAAGGTAAACTCCATGAAGGCGGTGATTTGGTTTGTTTTATTCACTGCTGTATCCCCATTACTAGAGCATAGTATGTATTCATGTAGATGTTTGTTGGTTGAGTAAATGAGATAAGCACCTGTCCCCAGTGAAGGGGATATAAGTCGTATACATAAGTAACTGTAATACAGTCTTCAGAAAAGTGTCCAAAGAGAAGTGTAGGTTAAAGGCCAGGGAATTCAGAAAGATTGATTACTCTGGCTTGTGGAATTCAAGCAGGGCTTCATTTTGGAGGTGCCTTTTGAATTGGCTCCTTAAAGATGAAAGGGATAATGTAAACAAAGATATGGAGGAAAAGGAGTAAGTAAGAATGGCAGGAGTGTGTTGACTTCGGGTGGAACACAGGGTATGTGAAAGTATTGGGAAATAAGATTTAAAAGTTAGGTTTGGAGCAAATAGTGAAAGGTCTTAAGATTACAAATTTGAGCTTCTTTAAACAAGGGGTAGCAGGAGAATGAGATGGCACAAATGTGTTTTATAGAGCAATGTGACAGCATCATATATTGAAGCTGGATTAGGATTGGGAGTTGCAAGGCTGTATTTCACAAAGGTAGACTCCATCTGGCGCTCTTGGCCCTTGTATCCAGTTTGGGTAATGAGGATGGATAAGCCACGGTCAGAATACAAGGAGGAGCAGATTGGGGAAGAAGATGATGACCTACACTGAGAGCCTGGTTGGAGCTGCCACTTGCTTGTGTTCCACCTCTGAGACTAAATGGAGACTCCAATGGGAAAGGCAAAAGGCTGAGAATAAGAAGACCTGGATTCCAGCCCTGTCCTGCTACCTACCAGCTGCTGGAGAAGTTGCTTAACATCTTTGTGCCTCTTTTCTCATCATGGGGCCCTCACCACGTATCTTTCAAGTTTTTGTGAAAATGAAATGTCAAAAATGCTGTGACAAGTTTAAAGCTGTAAATGTACTTTTGTTGGTATATTCTTTAAAATTATCTAACTTTGGTAATTGTGTAGCCTACTGTTAATCATTTTGCAAAGCTAATCTTAATTTCAGTATATCTTATAGATGTTAGAATACTAGTCTAATTTTTCCTGTTCCTTAAATTATGTGTTCTCTATGTTTTAGAAGAAAATGGGCCAATTTCAGAATTTTATTTTAAGATGTATTTACTTCATTTTCAACGTAACTTGTATTTAATGAAAGTTAACATAAATATTCATAAATATTAGTAAAATAAGCTGTGAGAATTAAAATTTAGAATAAGCTAGGGGCGCCTGGGTGGCTCAGTTGGTTAAGCGACTGCCTTCGGCTCAGGTCATGATCCTGGAGTCCTGGGATCGAGTCCCGCATTGGGCTCCCGGCTCAGCGGGGAGTCTGCTTCTCCTTCTGACCCTCCCCCCTCATGTGCTTGCTCTCTCTCATTCTCTCTCTCTCAAATAAATAAATAAATCTTTAAAAAAAAAATTTAGAATAAGCTAGAAATTCTAAGAGCCTTTAAAAGTGTGTTTAAAATTAAAATGGGTCATTTTCAGAATTTTTAGTTCACTCAGCTGTGGAATCCTTGAGGACAGGGACTTGTGATCATCTTTATAACTCCAAAGTTTGGCACGTTAGAACTGCCCTGTATATGTTTATTGAACAGATGACCACATGTAAGTAATAACAACAGCCTGGAGGGGAGGAGTGTGGGATGGGTCCTTCCACCTGTGTCCCCCTGAGAGGCAAGATGGGCAGGTTACCACCTGGAGCTTGTCCTTTAGGAAGATAGTTGAAGTGAAATTTAGCAAGTTTTCTTGTTTAGCTGGCTTTAAACCTGGCCCTACTTCATAGTTAATCCTTAAGAATAAAAGATAATCTGTTTCAGGCTCTCCCTGCTGTGATTGACCTTGATAGTTACAGAGTGGGAGCAGATCTGAGAATAGTGAAACAAACTCATTCCTTTTAGGACATTCACACTGATGTCCTATTTTCAAACAAATGAGAAAATTAATTTACTTAGTTTAGTGGTGAAGACTGCTTTATAACTTGAGGGTTTGCAAATTCTATGTTGTTTGTCTCCCTTCCCCCCATCTGCCCACCACCACACTGGTGTAGTTCCATGAGTGAACAAATAACCTTAATTATATAAAGGCTTATAAATCAGATTTGCCACTATAAATGAGTGCATTTTGTGGGAAAACCAGCACAAAGAACCAAAGTCATTGTCTTTAAGTACCTTAAAGAGTTTATCTTCAAAGATAGGACAGTAATTGAGTTTAATTTTATAAGGCTGACTAAAAATAAGTGCGAAGGAAAGAAATGCCTTTGGGCTATTGAAGAAGTCTTTGTAGCACAGCTTGGAGTGTGACCTGGTCTTGGGTGAAGAGCAGGCTTTAAGTATTGGGTAGGAGGACGGGAGGGCTGTGGTGTATCTGGGCAGTGATGACACTTGTCTGAAGGGAGCCATGGTCCTGTGTTGGGAAATGAAGGGAGCAGGAGGGTTGCAACTTTCCAAAACCATATGCATAATATTGACCAATCTGTCAAAAAAGGCTTTCTGTCTACTTTTATGTGTTCAAAATTTTCTATAATAAATAGATAAGAAGAAGAAAATAAATTTTAAATAGCATCATGAAATTCTACGTAAAATAAATATGGAGAAAATTCATATATAGGCATAATAAAGTTAAGAACAATGAACTTTCAGTGACTTTAGGATAAAATGAATAAGATTCTATTATAATGTATTGTTTTAATCACCTCTTCTTCACTTTGTTCATAGGGCTAGGATTCCCTCCCCTTGGCACGTGACGCTGGGTACACGAGAGTGATGGTGGTTTATTAATCACACTCAGCCCAGGCAGAAGGACACAGTACACTGCACAGGGCCACAGAGGGTGGGGGTGGGGGGCTGCAGAGTGAAGAAGGAGTTGCTGTGGAATGTAGGCTTTGAGTAACAAGTGGTTGAGGTGCGCCCCTTGATTCCTGCAGCAGAATGTGATTGGCTTGCTTTAATAATTCTGTAGTCTGGCAGGGCAGTGAAGCCTACTACTCAGGGATAAGCAGGAACTGTGCCAGGTCTCCATGATAAGAAGGATTATTTGAACTTTTTTTAAAGTAATCTCTACACCCAGAGTGGGGCTTGAACTCACAACCCGAAGAGCAAGTCATAGGCTCTACTGACTGAGCTAGCCAGGGTACCCCAGGGAAGGTTATTTGGCTTTGGGACCTTATCCCAGGAGCAGAGTGGGGAGGGGAACTTACGGTTAGGCCATTGAAAGCCCTCCCCGTTTTATCAGATGTCAAAGCTTCACATAATATTGGGTCTTTATTTTTTTAAAGGGAGTGATTTATTTATTTTTAAGTAGGTTCCACACCTAACGTGGGGCTTGAACTCACAACCCTAAGATCAAGAGGGGCACGCTCTGCTGACTGGGCCCGCCAGGAGCTTGGGTCTTAATTTTAGACCTTATACCCCATGTATGTAATTTGCATTTAGTGAAAGTTACTATTAAGTGTTAATAAGTAACTATTACTAAATTAATAGTTACACATTTGGTATTTGAAAGTCAGGTTTCTGTTAAGTATAGTCTAAATTTGTGTTTGTGAGGCTATCATTATACTGGGATTGGAATTGTAGATAAACCTGACTTGTTTCTGGATATCATTTTTGCAGCTAATAAAGTTATATTTTTTTGATAAGAGAACATTCAGACTAAACTTTAGCTTGTTTTCTTCAGACCTTCAAAAGGGGAGTTACAGACCAGGGAACTCTTAAGTAGTCACTTCCTCAGTAGAATTTGCATGATAATTAAGAACATTGCTTGGTGGTGATAATGGTTAAAGGAGTTGATTTTACATTAAGGGGTGCTTTCAAGAATCTTAGGTGACCCATGGTCATTGGAATACAGAGTGGGCTGAAGTGTTTGGTAGCTTGGTTTCTTTACTCCCATTTTCCCAGACTTTGTTACTATTACCTTTGCATTTTCACTTGTATATAGTGCTATCACTTCCTAGCATACTTTAACAACTTCTTACAGTTTTCAAGTTTTATAGGCTGTAAAACAGCTGTTATATTTTAGGATGCTGATCTAAATGATGCAACTTTATTTTTAGGGCCAGTTATAATTATTCCATTCATCTGTATTAACCCAGAAAACATATATTAAAATAAATTTTTGAGACTGCCAGATAGCTAGGTGCACAGGATTAAAAAGGTGACTCATGTAGGAGCCTAGGGGCTGGCAGTCTAGTGAGGGAGACTGGGT